TTTTTTCGGTGGACAACGTTAATGACATTAACTGTATTAGTACCCCTCACAATAATTTTTTTCTTCTTAAAAAGGAAGATACTTGGGAGAGTACAAAAACTAGTTTGTGGCCTAAGTAGGTTTGAGCATTTCACTGACTGAATTTCAAGCATCTTCCGAGTCCCACTCAAAACGCCGAGAGGAACGAATGGAAGAAAAAGAAAGAAGAAAAAATTAGAGAAAAACAAAGAAAGGGTAAAATAAACAAAAAATTGAAAAAGGAAGAAGGTAAAGCAATTTTTCTCCTTTTTTTCTTTTTCTTTTTTCTTTTTTTGCTTTCGTGACTGTAAAGGTTCATGAATTATTAAAAAGTGTCTGGGTTTCCTGTGCTATCACGTGTTTCTGCTGCATCCAGAACCGTCGATCGTGTCCAAAATAGTCTCCACAAATGTATGCAGGAGCGTTTGAAGTGATTTATATTTTCTCTTCGCTTCATCATCGACTCCAGTCTATTTAAAAGGCTAAAAAGCGTGTGCTGAACACTAGATTACTTCAATTATGCTTTGACTGTGAACTTACAGAGCTGTCATTTAGAACAACAAACTTTATGCAGATTCTGTAAGCTTATTTTCTGTCTAGTCCACGTTACTTAGTCTTTTTGTGTTAGCTTTTTCGTTGCTTTTGTATGAGCTAGTGGTTAATGTTTCTCACTGCATAAAGATTTGATATTTTCGAGATCAAAGAAAGCACACCGTTGTGGGTGTTATTATCGACTTTACACTTGTGATAGAGCGACTGTAGTCTCTGGACAGACATGAAGACATCTAGAAACAAGTCGAGTCGACGTACCAACAAGACTGTTGATGCTTCAGAAAAAAGGTAAGACTACTTTTTAAGGTTCTACTATTATTATTTGTGTTAATTTTTAATTTTAAGTTTTGATGATAATTTTGATAGTATGGGTTTGTTTGGTAAACTTGCCATACAATCGACTATGGCGTCTTGTAAGGCCACTGTATAGATAGCAGGTTATATTATACCCGTGCAATAAAGAGAAATTAAGGATCTAAGAAAATTTATAAAGTAGAATGTTTCAAAATTTTCTTTATTATTACCTTGGTAAAAAAAGATCCCTATTTTATTTACTTAAACTAAAGAAATTATGCATGGATGTTTCATTGACGTCTTTAAGACGTAAGAAATGATTTCTGTCTACAATTAATGGCCATCATATTTTCTTAAATATGAACTTCAGTGTTCTGGCAGAAGCAACTTTCTTTTTATCGTGTTTTCAACAACACTGCTTTAGGGTCAACGAAATTTTTTTATGCAAAAGTTTAATAGTTTTGTCTAAAAAATCTCGAGGGACAGTTATTTGCATTCACGCATCCATGCATGTCTATTTATGTACAATATTTTCTGGTTACGTCACAGTATTCGTTAAATATTTAATAAATTAAGAAACTTTAGTGCCATCACCAACATTAATCGCAAGATTTGAAAGAATAAACATTGAAAATATATATTGACATTACTGTGATGGTGTAAAAAGATCAAAGTAAATTATGTTTTACAACTATCATTCCCCATGCAGGGCTACACTCTATATTTACTACAACATGGAACACTCCTGGAGTAGTCGATCGAAATAATCGAAAATCAAAAAAGTTGAATGCAATCAATGCCAATTATTTGGTTGATTTTGGAAATCGAAGACCAATCGATGGCTTGAAAATTTGTGACTATTAATTGGTTTGATCAATCAATAGACCTATCCCAAATTCGCTTGACTGATCACGAAACAATGGTTTGAAGTCGAGATTGAACTTGATTCTTTTATTCATCAAGTTCAACCTCGACTTGAAAACATTGTTTCGTGGCCAGTCAAGTGAATTCGGGATAGGTCTATTCAATCGACTTTCCGACTATCGATTGCTTCAATTGGTTACGTATTTTTATCAGTTATTCCTAATACTTTTGAACCAGTAAAGTGTAAAATATGTTTTCTGGAAATTTTCCGAGTCTCAGCAAAATTTAGTACAGTTTGGTCCTTTGCTCTTCGCTTGTAATATTCTTATTGGCTTTTCAGTTAAGAAATTGGGGTATGGGAAAAGTTTAAGTTTAGTCTCCAAATGGTGACGTACCTTTTGTTTATTTTTTTCTTAAATGTAACACAACGCAAAAGGCGCCAAGTTCCAGGTGAAATTTGGCTTTCATTCGGCGTTCTAGAAGAACTGCCACCTGTGACAGAGTAATGCCATTTTCTATGGCCACTTTCAATCAATAATCAATTGCCATCGATTGGTGAGGTTAGCTTGTGACTTTCGATTACTTATTAATTGATCAAAACCAATCGAAACCAATTTTGTAATATTTTCGATTGAATTCGATAGTTCAATTGGATTTCTGATCATCAATTGTCATCGTGAATTGACTACGCCGGGAACAATCAACATACAAGTTGATTTTTATCAGCGAGGGAGGAGAATCAGAGAAAAAATAAGGCAATGCAAAAAACTTGTAACACATCAAATAAAATTCACATATGATTCAGCCCAATCTACTAGGGCTAATGGACCCTGACCACAGAATGAAAGGCTAGTGACGAACCACTATGCCACACATGTACCACCCACATATATTTATGCATATGACAAATTCCATTTAGGATTACATTGTATAATAGTGATATGGTGCTTTATCATATACTCAGTAGTAGAGTACAAATACCACAGGAGAAAACCTGGAGCAAATACAAATATTCTGCAATAGTTGCAGTCTACCAAAAATCTGCAGCATGCCTAAAGCAACACAAGTCATGTTTTTGCAATATTTAGTGTCAAAAATAGCTTTAACAATAAAAATAATAAAAAAAATAAAAAGATAAACCCACATAATAACATAACATATTCAATATTTTAGGGTTCAGTGAGGATGGACTTTTTTCTCTTCATATTTTGTTTTGCCCTGGCTAGCTAAAAAAGGGTGTCAATTATTTCTTATAACGACATTAAAATGTTTATTTCTTAGGCAAGATACAGGGCTCAGTCCTTCAAAGCGCCACAGAGAAAAGCTGAATAATGTAATGGATGAGTTGGCTGACCTTTTACCTCTATCCAGTGATGCTAAGTCGGGACTAGATAGGTTATCCATCCTCAAGTTGACTGTCAGTTTTTTCCAGACTCAAAACCTTATTCAAAGTAAGTTTATRGTATTTTTAGCTTATTCTCTTGGGATGGAGTGCAATCCAGCAATATATTAATATTCATGAAGTCTACACTGTCTGTACATGTAACACTTGTATAAACCTGTTGATTACTGCTTGATTACAGGTGCTGACAGAACACAACAATTGCATGGTGCAAACAAGAAAAAAGTTAATGTCCAAGGAGTTAGTCTTAGTGAAATGGCTTTAGAGGTAAATATCACTTAAATTGGTTAAAAGTCTTTCCAAGTGCATGACTGTGTACATTTCAGGCGTCAGGAGTGTGGTCAGGAGGGTGGTCAGGAGGGTGGTCAGGAGGGTGGTCAGGAGGGTGGTCAGGAGGG